CATTATGAGATGGGTCGACCTAAGCGAATGCGATGGCTGCAGTCAAAGCATTTTTTGAGGTAGACAATCGTTTAGACTCACAGACCTGTAATAATACATGTCTAGTACGAAAAGCAGCAAGTTTGCCATTCCTTTTCAACAAAACAACGTCGGACACACCACTCATCAGAAGTATCAATTTATTTCTTACATAATCTCTGTGAAGTCGAAAAAAATCACGTTTTATTCTCACACAACATTAGAGGCAGTACGACCTTTTTGAAAAGCAGTCATTCAGAGAGCTCATACGCGCACCGCTGTAGATATACCGGTCGACTGATATCCTAAATAATTCCTTTCGCATTTTCTTCTCCTCTTACAGGTATACGTGGCTAACAATTTCTTCGGCATTTCTTTTCTGAACACACTAGCCTCTTGCGCGAAATCTTGGTTATGTACTTTTTTTACTTTTTCCGCTAGATTTTTCAAAAGATGTATTATTCTTCCTCTGTTAAGAACATGGAGCGTACTCATCAGATCGTCAATTTTCAGCAATTAGAAAATATCATCGGCAAAGCAGAAGGTTCAGTCGTTCTACATTGAGACGCAATCTTACATGCTCCTAAACTACATCATTTATTAGTGAATCAAGCTTGGCAGTGAACAGTTTCAGGAGGTCTTATTTTGTTTAACTCTGTAATAGTTCATAATAAACACGAGAAAGGCATCGAACACTGTTTTCATTAACCAGAACGGACTATTTTTTGATTGAAATCACTGACGCGACATTACGTGTACAATTAACAGGGTATAGAAATAAAAATGATGACCCAAGATATTCAGGTACCAAACAAGGACAACGACGACTGCCGCTCTCGAAGGTGTCAAGGTTTACATCTGCCGACGAATCTTGGATAAAGGCACGCGTCTCTGATGTGGTTGCGGCCGGTCATCCAAATCAAGAACCTTTCAAAGCCTAAACCGTATCCGCCATGGGCACAGGAACCGTACTTTCTCTGCAAATAAAAATGAAAGGAACCAAAGCACGCGCTTCAATTTTATGACGAATAGATTTGCTGGAATTTGGGTATTTTACTGAATGAGTTTTTGGAAACGTACGCGACGACAGCAAATCGTCGCAGCCTCTTGGAAAATATTATGCATCGCTCGTTCTGTAGGATAACAAGATTTTAATATAGTTGGTATGGACTGAACGAAATCTACTTAATATCATTAACTAGAAAAGCGACCGTTGGGTTAGACTTCAGCTAGGCCGAGATTGCTTAGTCAGCACAGCATCAAACTTAGAACCAAGAGGATCTGGGATCGAACCCCGACGGGACCACTTACCATTTTTCTTCTGAGGTTGATAAACTAGTGCCACACCGTGCGAAGGAAAGATGAACTACATGCTATGTTTCCCATCTGCTGTCGACTGCTGATAAAACAAGCCACACGGCAAATGGCAAAGAAAAGGACATCCGCGCACTGCTATCGACTTCACGAAAAGGGACCGATCATGAAAATATAAGGAAGATCAGTATTCCAACGAATGCAAAGTTTCTCTTTCCCTTATTCGACTCTTGCGCCAACGAATTGCGACTCTGTTAGTGGCGGCGCTGAAGTGCTTGGTTACTTACTACAGTTCAGCGGGAACCCGAGCGATACTATGACGATAAGGAGGAGATAAGTACAGCTGAAAAGTGTAGTAACGCTGTTGCAAGGTCAGTATTTATTCACACAC